TAAAGTGCATCCTCCCTGAGGAGAGGTAGATTGAAAAGCCTGGTGATTGGATTCATAGCTAAACTCAGCTGCACACTCAGTAAAACCTTGAATAAGGTTCTTCCCTCTGCCTCCCCTCCTCCATTTTTTAACTTCCTTCTGACTCAGTTGAGCTGGCTTCAGAATTCAATACAAAGTTGGCAACATTGAATACAGACATTGCATCCAACATTGCATCTTGTTAAATATGAGGTTTTAGACATCCAAAGGAATTCTGAGTGTAATTATTAAATGTCAGAGGAAGAAGGACATTACTCACTTTTGAATAACTGGGAGCTGCATATTTTTGAGTATATATTTTAACAAATATCCCTTGGCAGTTATCAAACCTAACATTTCGTATTTTACAACGAGATAATCAGAAGGTGATACTGCTTCAAGCTCTAGCATCAATAGTCTGTGGAGTATTTTGAAGTGTTTGTGTCTGAAGAATCTTGTTAACTACAGTCCAAGAGTAATGTTGTTGGAGACATCTCCCTTCGGCATAGAAAAGTAGAGACTAGATATAAAAGCCTCCTTGTCTATGCTGTTGGAAGTGCCCTTTTCATTGACCCTCTGTGTAGCTTTACACTCAGTTTTCTTTTGGGATATCCATCTAGGTTCTTAGTCTGAAGGAATGACAGTTTTGCACAGGGGAAGTTATCGGTAATTCTTATTCTCTGGAGACATTGGCATGCAGGGATCTCACTCTTCAGACCCCATACTTTTTTCTTTTTTGGATAGGCTTTGATCAAATGCTGGTTGTCTTAATTTAGTTTTTTCATCTGGATGCTTCATTTCCCATGCAACCAGGGGAACTAACTGAGTCATTCAGAGGACAGCCTTGATACACAGCAATGGCTGCTGTGAAGTAACCAGTATTGAACTTGGCCTGCACTCTACCTTACTCAAAAACCTTAAATGCTAGATGAATTCACCATACTCTCACAAAAGAGCAAAATGTCTCCCCGCTATCTCGGCACCCAAGCATGTTAAGGACTGACAGATAATGGGATATAATAGATAATAGGAATGGTCAGTAAACTCAGACAATATATTCCACATTGGATAAGTGTTTGATGCTAATTATATCTATAATAGAACAGAATTTGTGACATTTTAAGAAACAAAAGTATGATCGTTAAACCTACACATCCTCAGATTGTCATGTACTTTTCATTTTATATCCTCTGCAGTATAGATTTGTGGGCATTTAAAAATAATAATAAAAAAGCCAAAAGGGGGGAATTGATGGATGAGAAAGGCACTTTACAAGTTCTTTTCTTTAGTGCCAAGTTGTGATGTGTTTGCTGTCAGTGTGGTCTTGGTGGGTGTATTTACTTACTCCAAACTTTCTTAGTGGGCTCCCATGGAAAGATTTTTTTTCCCCCTCAAAGACTGAAATACAATAAAACAACGCATACACATGCGCGTTCTTTTTACACCACAGTAACCAAGCAAATGAATGAAATTTCCCATTTAGAGGAAGGCTAGCAGCTCTGAAGGAAATAAATGTGTTGTTTGTGGCATGCACACAGGTCAGTATCCCTTTCAGTGTACAAAGAATTCCCTAACTCTCTTTTTCATCACAACATGCTAGAGGGATTGTATTAGTTGCTCAGTTGAAAATGGTGGTAGAAGGTGGATCGTGGCACATAGGAGCTCAGGCTACAAATACAAATATGGCTATTGAGCATTTCTGATTTCAGTTAAAAAAGGGCAACTAATTTCTCTATGGGCTCAATCCCATTAAAATCAGTAACGAGCTATCACTGAATTCATGACCTGTCTTGGTTGATTTTCTAGTACATGAAAAAAACCCATTCTTTTTTCAGAAAATTCATGTCATACTATGACATAATTGGGGAGGGTTAAATTGCACGTTATAGCTCTCTTTTTAAAGTGCCATTTCGGAAATACACATCACATGAATTATTAATGCTAATTTATTGTACTCCAAGACCTGTTGAGTGCAGAAGATTGGCTGCAAAGACTGATTTTCTAGCAGAAATGATAGTGTAAAAGCCACTGGGTAGGCTTGAAGATCATTCCTGGGTCTGGTTAAACTTTTTGGCATCAGAATATGTAATGGCCTTACAGCTTTAATACTTTAAAGTTGACACCTGGCATCACTTCAAAACAATGTGCAAGATCTATCATAGGTAGTCCTCTTATCTTATCTGAATAGCAATTTTATCCTGTAAATGATTTGAGACTACAGTATTGCAGTGCTGTGGAAAAAAGATAGAGCTTTCTTCTGTTAAATCTTTGTACTGCAAGTATCTTTAATTATTCTGATTTATTTATGGGTATTCCACATTTAGTAGCATGTGATACCATATGACATCCTCTCCAAAATGCATTAAGGGAACAAAAGTTTGCTGATCAGACAGAGTAGCATGTCCATGCTATTCAGATTTTTAAAAGTCATTACAATAACATTTACTATATATCATCAGATCTAAATTTCTGTTTTCAGAGACAGTGCTGGCTCTGCTATATACTTTTCAGTTGATACACTAGCTGTGTATCCAGTTCCCAGATATAACCCTAAATGCTTCTCTTCTGCTACCACCATCACTTCTATGATGGAGTCTCTCTAACATAAGCCTTGTGCACCTTGCTTCAGGCGAGCACTTGAGATGTCAATGCACAGGTACAAACAGGTGCCTATAATTAAACTTTAGTGATTAAATATTCAGTGTGCACTGAAACATTTAATGGTAACATTAAAATAAACTCTTTGTTAATTGTTCAGTTGTTGGAATTATCATATTTAGATTGTAATATTCTTGGGACAGGAACTATCTACAACTTTGGCATGTTGGCCTAAAATTGGGTTCTGAGGTGACAGAGCAATACAAACAAATAACAAACTAAATAACTTAATGTGCCTCATCTGATGTGTGATGGTTTCAGAGTGAGGCAAAGGTCAGTTAAATTAGCACTCTTTCAAAACTGTATAATTGATTATTGAATGTGTATTTCTCATTGTTTATATGTGCTAGGTGCTAGCAAGTAAAGCTTTGTCTCCAAGAGCTTACTGTTTAAATAATTTCAGAGGGGTAGCTGAGTTACTCTATAACAGGAAAATCTTAAAAAACAACAAATAGTTCAGTAGCACTTTAAAAACTATTAGGACTGCTCTATATAGATCCTGTAGGTGTTTGTCTCTGTCTGTGGGATTGGAACAAATCTGGTTGTATCTTAGGGATTGGCTGTATACAATAGATTGAAAAATGTGTCTGGGATGGAAGCTAGAGGCATGAAGGTAAGTGTAGCGATCGGTAGGTTTCCGGTATAGGATGATGGAAATTTGTCCATCATTTAATTGTAATGTAGTGTCAAGGAAGTGGATTTTTCATGTAGACTGATCCAGGCAGAAGTTGATGGTTGGGTGGAAGCTGTTGAAATCCTTGTGAAATTCTTCAAAGGTCTTCATTTACTATATATCATCAGATCTAAATTTCTGTTTTCAGAGACAGTGCTGGCTCTGCTATATACTTTTCAGTTGATACACTAGCTGTGTATCCAGTTCCCAGATATAACCCTAAATGCTTCTCTTCTGCTACCACCATCACTTCTATGATGGAGTCTCTCTAACATAAGCCTTGTGCACCTTGCTTCAGGCGAGCACTTGAGATGTCAATGCACAGGTACAAACAGGTGCCTATAATTAAACTTTAGTGATTAAATATTCAGTGTGCACTGAAACATTTAATGGTAACATTAAAATAAACTCTTTGTTAATTGTTCAGTTGTTGGAATTATCATATTTAGATTGTAATATTCTTGGGACAGGAACTATCTACAACTTTGGCATGTTGGCCTAAAATTGGGTTCTGAGGTGACAGAGCAATACAAACAAATAACAAACTAAATAACTTAATGTGCCTCATCTGATGTGTGATGGTTTCAGAGTGAGGCAAAGGTCAGTTAAATTAGCACTCTTTCAAAACTGTATAATTGATTATTGAATGTGTATTTCTCATTGTTTATATGTGCTAGGTGCTAGCAAGTAAAGCTTTGTCTCCAAGAGCTTACTGTTTAAATAATTTCAGAGGGGTAGCTGAGTTACTCTATAACAGGAAAATCTTAAAAAACAACAAATAGTTCAGTAGCACTTTAAAAACTATTAGGACTGCTCTATATAGATCCTGTAGGTGTTTGTCTCTGTCTGTGGGATTGGAACAAATCTGGTTGTATCTTAGGGATTGGCTGTATACAATAGATTGAAAAATGTGTCTGGGATGGAAGCTAGAGGCATGAAGGTAAGTGTAGCGATCGGTAGGTTTCCGGTATAGGATTTATGGGTATTCCACATTTAGTAGCATGTGATACCATATGACATGTAGACTGATCCAGGCAGAAGTTGATGGTTGGGTGGAAGCTGTTGAAATCCTTGTGAAATTCTTCAAAGGTCTTTTTCCCATGAGTCCATATGATGAAGATGTCATTGAGGTAGCGTAAGTAAGGTAAGGTGTTAAGGTGCTATTTGTTGTTTTGCAAGTTTTTCCTGTTTAAATAATGTTGAGTCTATTTCCATCGCAGATGCAAGACATGGTTCTTGAGAGAGCAGATTTTTGTTTTCCTTAAGTCAAAGTATTGGTGCACCCACCATTCAATCATTACAAACAAAACACAGGTTGTACAAATAAAAAAGTCAGTGGAACTTAATAAAAAATTAGCAACACCTATAAATTGGCTAAGATGAGAGGGCTCAGTTCTACCACCCTGACTCCTATAGTGGTAATCCTGTTGTAAACAGTAGAACTACCTGTATAGTAGGGTGCTAAGTGAGAGTCAGAGTGGCAGAATGGAGCTCATAGTGTAGCTATCTTTATATTGTTGAAAAACTAAGATTGAAGAGCATATAATACCTGTGATTTTTGGCTACCAACTGAAATACAATTACAGGGTTTTTTTCCCCTTCCATCTTCTAATTTTGAATGGATGTTTTGTATTGATTTATATTGTTTCAGGCTTTACAAGATGAAATGGAAAATTATTGCAATCAGGTACGGTCAGCAGAAAAAAAGCTGCATCATAAGGAGTTGGAGACACAAGAACAGGTAAACATCACTATCCACTAGATTGCTTTCCTTGAGCAAAGACCAAATCACATATTATTCTACTGTATTTTCAGCTACCTTTCTTTTTTGTTTTTAATTCATAAAAGAGAATTAAACTGTCTGAACCCCAGGGGCAAATGCTTATCCAATGCTCTCTGTTTCAAGATGGCACTTCGACTATTTTAGCTGTTAAATTATGCTTTTTAGGCAACAATATTGTTTTTAATGGATGTTTTTGGTATTACTATAACCTGGTATTTCATGGCTTCTGTTAAGAGAGCTATAATTTGACAACACTTGGGATAAAAATAATGTGTATTGCAAATCTTATGCATTCATTGTGTTGGAGTATTGTACATAAATGGTTCCATATGATTAACCCTGCTAAGATTATGCTGGACGTAGTAACTGAAATCAGAGATTCATAATGTTCATTTTTCCTCAGTCTGCTCCATAGTAAAGCTCAGTATTTGTAATGTACAGATTGGGAAAATGAATATAATATCATTATCAGAACTGTTTCATAAAATTATCACTGAAATGCAAAGTAATGTGCCTGCATTGAACCATGTTGTAAATTGGAAATACACAAGAAAATACAGCAGCAATAGAGATTGCACAAATCCATATACTGACCTGATGTAAGGAGAGATGAGTTTGTAGAATCACCCTTTGTGTCTATTTCTTTCTCTGTACTGACTTGTAAACACTTGTGCAGTGTTTCAGATTCTGATTTGGTGCCAAAGCACCCATGGCTCTTTCTTTCTGTTCTCATATCTGTATTTCCTAGTATAGTAACTTTTAGGGATAATCATCATCAGGGTATCTCAAAACAGTCTCAGTGTTATCAGGTATTATTGTCAGGTTTACAAAAGGGGAACTGGCACATAGCGACACAGATATATGGCGATTTTACTAAAGTGGTACAGTTAGAGTGGAAGAGTCTGGAACAGAACTCAGCTTTCTTAAGTCCTAGTTTCCTCTCCAACTCTTAAATAGTGTTTTTGTGTATCTCCTCTAGTTGTCTCAAAGTGTTTGCCTAGTCTCCTACCCTAATCTCCTTTTTCCTTCAAGTATTGTTTAACTCATTTTTAACATATTTATATCTTAATAGTTGCAGTTTCTGGTAGTACATTCTACATATATCCCTCCTGAGATAAAAGTTTCGTAGGAACTTCCTTTATATCCATTCCTTTCATTGTTTCAGTTTGTACCTTTCTGACGGATTTTATTATATTAACCTTCAGTATTTATCTTCTACTTTACACTTCAGTAATATCCACTCTTAAATTCCATTCCTTTTCAAATTCTTTTATGTCTTGCCTCTAAAAAAGTTCCCCAAAATTGTACTTGTTCTTCTAGACATCAGGTAATGTTCAGAAATGTCCTAAGTGATGTAGGATTCTAACTCCCATTTTCAGACCTGATGCAGGAGCTTAAATCTCATTGATTTGTGTACCGTCAAGTCCAGAGACTTTTTTTTGCAGTGCATTAATAAATTAGCCCTGGAAGGTACTGATTCTTAGCCCTGGCAAGTTAATCAACAATTGAGACTTTGTTGAATGAGCTAAATCTTGCAAGGTGGCACATCTTACAAGGTTTTTAGTTTTTTCTTTTAATTTAGTCTCTCTCTCTCTCTCTCTCTCTCTCTCTCTCTCTCTTCAGAAACCCAATGGTAAAATGGCTATCCTGATATATTTTTCATTGTTATTCCTTGGTCAGATGACCTATGAACATGTTTGGAGAAGGGGCAATAACAGCAGATTGCCTTGGATCAGCCACTTAGGCGGTTGAGATATTTAAGGCGTTTACATGTAACTTTCTTCCTACACTTACCATATATTGTCTCAATACTATATTGCATAAAGGATTGAAATTTGCCTTGGCACTATTACAAAGGGCAGTTTTCTGCGCTTTTACATGTCTCCTTTTAAAAATAATAATAGGAGGAGGAAGAGGTTTAAACTGCTTCTGTTTTTCATTAAGAGGAAAAATCCTGTGTTTTGCTTCTATAACAACAACAAACAAATGAATAAAACACGAAAAAATATTTTTGTGCTTTTAATTAAAAACAAAAAGCTGGTTCTTGTTATGGCTTGTTGGGTGGCATTAGTGCTCCATATTTGTCTTATTTCAGTAGGGACATCCTTATAACTCTGCAGTCCCCAGAAATGATTGGCAAATTCTCTGAGCTTAACCCTTTCTTCCATATAAAGAATTAACCTGTTCCTTATTAGATTGGTCAAGAGAGGTATTTATACACACATTCCACATGCAAAAAGCTATAAAAAGATTATTAAGGTTTCAAAGCACAAGGGCAACTAGAACTGAATGCAGGCAGTTGAGGGTAAGCTATTGGTTTGTATAAAGTGCTACAATATTTTTCCATATTGCGATCTATACTACTTTTTGTGCATCTAACAGTTTGTTTGCGTATTGAATGGAGGTTGTCGAGCAATATCTTTGTCTTTTTCCTAAGTAGTTACATTTAATGTAGAACTCAACAACATGGCTAAATATTTCAGTTTATTCTTTCCAGTGTACATTACCAGTTCCCCCATTGGAACCTTATCCCAGAAACCATTTCAGAGTATTGCTCCCTGTTTACTTTTTTCATTCTGGGAGGACTCCCAAAGATTTTAAATTTTGGAGTGGAAGGACATTGAGTGAAGTTTGTGGAGGAAGATAAAATTAAAAACATCCCCTTATGCTGACAACTACATGAGAACTGTAGTACAGCTCCCACTGTTCAGCACTGAAGATGTTTAAACCATAGCAATAATTCTCAAGGCTAAAAGCATCAGTCATGGCACAAAGGGTGCCTTAAAGGAGAGAGTTGCTTTTCAGACAGAAAATCAATTATGTACAATTCATGAATATTATTGAGGAAGTGAGGGTGAATACCAGTACAGATTTCCAATCCTTTAATTTCCATTTTCTCAAATTGATTAAAATAAAGGCAGAGGGAAATTAGCTTAGTTAGGATTGTGTTGGAGATATTTAGAGTGAAATCTGTTTAAAAAAACAAAGGTGCTTTATTTTATTCCAAAGTGCAAATAGAAACAGGAATGATAATTGAAAGCTGTGATTCAATATCATTTATTTATTTTTTATGTTTAAGGTTTATTATTCTGACTCACTTAGTTTTATGACTGCTGGATGTTTACCACATTCAGTTGCCCTGCTATGACTAAGATATGTGTTCACATACAATGCTTTTATGAAGCATTCTGAAATTTTGGTTCGTCAAGTGGTTGCAGGCATGTATTCCACTCAGCTGTGTGCATGCCCAATGCACCAAACTTAGCAGTAACCCTCGGGGGTGGGTTGATGCACACACACTTTGGTCCCATAGTCCTCCCTCTTGCTATTTAAGGGCAATATTCCGACCCATCTCAGTCCTTTCTCACTGCCCATGACTAGAGTTATAGCTTATTTTGTGTGGTATTTTACCTCATGCTTCTCTCTCTGTCTTTCTGGAATTTTCTTGTGTACAGTTAATAGTTTCATGGTACTCTCAATTTTTATTAGTAGAAATCAATTATGTTATGAGGTTATCCTGGTATGAGGCCATCGTCACAGTTTAAACATTTTCTATTGGCTTTCCTCAGTAATGATTCTCAGAGGGGGTGTTTGTTGTGCCTGGCAAAAGGGCAGATCCTACTCCTGCTCACTCTCTCCTCCCTCTCTCCTTTTCAGCTGGCAGGGGCAGAGGGTTGGGATACAGGCTCTGGTGTTGGGCTAAGGGATTTGGAGTGTGAGAGGGGCTCTGAGCTAGGGCATGGAGTTGAGGTGTAGGAGGGGGTTCAGGGTACAGCCTCTGTAAGGGAGTTTGAGTCTGCATATGTTCAGGTGGTGAGGGAATTACACCTGAAGCAGCACGTGAGTTGAGTCACTTCTCTTAATGTTCATTGCAAAGGAACTAAAGGGAGCCCTTCAGTAGCCAGTGGGAGACTATGGAGGCCAGAGATGATGAGCACTGTTGCTCTGGATACTGTTGTGAAGCAAAGATCTCCAAGTTTGGCGAACTGAGTGCATACACACCTGAGTGGAATGCACACATGCGCCCATATCTCTGAGAACAATGGACACAGTACAGCCAGGGAACTTAGAACGTAAGAACGGCCATATTGGGTCAGACCAAAGGTCCATCTAGCCCAGTATCCTGTCTTCTGATAGCAGTCAATGCCAGATGCCCCAGAGGGAGTTAAACGGAAACAGTCATCAAGTGATCCCTTAGTGTCATCCATTTCCAGCCTCTGACAAACAGAGGCTAGGGACGCCATTCCTACCCATTTTGGCTAATATGTATTGAACGTTCTAACCTCCATGAATTTATCTAGTTCTTTCTTGAACCCTGATAAAGTCCTGATCTTCCCAACCTCCTCTGGCAAGGAGTTCCACAGGTTGTCTGTATGCTGTGCTTCTTCTATTACATACCGTAGAATAACTTGTAACTTTTGCCACCCCTTGTTCTTGATAGAATTTTGAACAAGGCTAGTAGTTGCTCAATCTGCAGATCCATGGAGCTGTGAGCAGAGAGTCATAGCATCCAAGCAAGATGCATTGTAAGCATTTATTTGTCCAGTAAATTGCTTGTCCATAGCAGTCCTTAGTGACAATGAAGGCCAGAAGATTTAAATATTTTTGTTGCATGTATTTATTAATTTAATCTTTTATCATCCAGATTTCTTCTCATGCAGAAATTCCCACAGAATTTGCATATCCTCTTTCGAAAATAGAATGTAGTTTAGACGTACCCTAAAACGGAAATGCATAGGAAAACGCATAGGAAAACGGACCTGGAGATGGAATTTGAAAGAAGATGGTAAACTGGTGGTGTTGAAAGATAAAAGAAACTTGTTGCACATGGCAAAAGTTGCAGGGGAGGAGGCCATTGCTGAAAAGGAAAAGGTGAAGCTGATGGTATATACAGTATGGGGAGCTTGATAATCAAGTATTGACTCAGGTAAAAAGTACAATCCTCCAGAAAGGTGTGA